GAGCCTTGGACTTTCTGCGTTTTTGTTGTAGGATGCTGTTATTTCTCGAGTTTTGGCTAGTTTTGCATGTGTTTAGTCGAGGATCACGATTTTGAAAACTACTTGTTTTCTACATCCGCTGTTATTTGCAAACAGGTTTTGCTGTTAAACAGGCTTTGCCATTAAACAAGGGTTCCAGGAGGGTGCTCGTGGCTGCGGGGGCGGGGAAGCGCGGTGAGTCACGTGGGTTGTTGCTGTACAGGCTGTACTGTTTGAGAAGTTTTGCTGTTAAACAGGCTTTGTTGTTAGAGAGGCTTTACTGTTGGACAGTCTTTGTTGATAGAGAGGCTGTGCTGTTAGACAGGCTTTGCTATTAGACAAGTGACAACGGTTCCAGGAGGGCCTTGGCTTTGCTGTTAGACAAGAGATCCAGTGGGTGATAACCCATCTAGATGCAGTAGGTGTAGTAGTAGGCGCACGGTTGGTTACATCATCATCGTCGACATCCGTGTATCACAGCAACAAAAGTCCACAACTAAAAAAACAAGGATGCAACACAGACAAACAACAAGACCAAGACCACTGAAAACCAGCCCAAAACTTGAGAAATAGCAGCGTCCAACAAAAAAACAAGAAAATGCAAGATTCCAATACACAGAAAAACAGTGACATAAACAACAACGCGATCTTCCCCAGACCCCCCCCCCCCAAAAAAAAAAAAATACACCTAGTCTAAAGACGAAGGCTCCCATCTCCGGAGTCTGGACCCGGCAGGTGGGCCTTTACCCGCCTTCTCATGTGCAAACTGTCACCAAGCCTTCAACTACCAAGACTTACTTCTTGGCAGGGTTCCTATAACCTGGATATAAGGCTTGCGCTTTAAGGGATTCCTAAAGATCTTCAGATAAGGAATTCCAAACCTTGAAACCTCATGGGCTTGAGGCCTAGGGTTTCTGGCACCGCAAGAAAATCCCAATGCAGGATCGACGAGAAAGGATGGTTAAACATCGGCAATGTAGGAGCCTTGTTCACTAGAATAGGGCTTGGAGGAGTAGGTCATTATGGCACAGCCAGTTATAATCAGGAACCCCAGGAAAGAATAGGAAATAGCTTAGGCTTCTTTATGACTTTAATGACTGCTGCCAGACCAAGCGTCCCAAGAATCGGCAGCGAATACAGTCTCCATCCTCAGACGGTTCAGGATTTGACAACAACCGCAGGTTACTGCATGAGGATTGGCCTAAGGCATATCGTGCTTCAGCTTTAAGGCGACCTACAGTCTTTGTCAAGTAGGCCTCGATGCTGATAGGTTTCGAACAATCGGATATCTCTCTGCCTTGAAGCTCCTGAATCCTCAAGCCTCCAGGCGAAATGCTACAGGGAACCCGGCACCCGACAGCCCCGAAACACCAGAAACCCTGCAACTTCAACAACTCTGGAAGAGGGCATTGCTGCCATGAGAGAAGGAAATTACAGCCGGAACCGGCACATGGCGTTGAATCTGTGATAATGTCACAACCTAGAAGAGTGAGGGTAGCACTCGGAATCGAAGAGTGGGAGTACGTTCAGAAATTAGAGGCTTGAATTTCGTGGTACGGGATTTTGGTCAAAGGTCCGCAACTCCAGGCATGAAGCCGACGGCAACACCTCGCCCGTTTCCCAGCTTCTTGAACGGCTTTCTCAGCCCCAAGGCGAAAAAGACTACCAGCCGACAAGGCTATCAGTGCCGCTGTCTTATGATGTCTCGATGATGCCGTGGATTTCATCCTGAACTGTTACAGGAATCAAGAACCCCAACCCAATCAAGAGACTAGTAGGCTCCCATGGCTTTCTATTCAGACAAGAGCCGGCTTGGCCCCGCCGTCTTTATGACGATGTACAAGCTTGATGTTGAGTCTACGGTTTAAGGGTGTTGGGTGAAGCCAAATATACCACTAGCCACGAATAAAATCTGCGAGCTGAATACACGATGCGTCACCGACTGTGCACCGGCTGTTGAACACTCCGACCTGCAAAACAAATAAACCAGCTGATGAGTACGACTGTACTCTAGCAAGCATAAGGGCAGTGATGCTTTGACTCGCGATGACAGCCACCAGTTCAACAAGCTCACCCTAAACCTTGGACGCAAAACCTTGAATCTGAAATCCCCTTAACCGCCTGCCGTCAGCCATCAGTGCCCAAGCGTCTTTCCGAAGACATGCTTCTCAACCGCACCGCAAATTTCCGAAAAGACCTGTGGGCCAGTACAAAAAGGTGGGTTTCGGATTTTCAAGGTAGCGTTCCTTTCACGGCTCTTGCAGCCCTAAGCCCCAAGCCCTAAGCCGTGTTCCGTTAAGGGTTCTTTCAACGATGGAACGGAACTCTAACAATCGGAGAGATCCATAGAGGCATATATGGTTTTTTATGTATATTTAGGTGTGTGTGTGTGTATATATATATATACAGAGCGAGAGCGAGAGAGGAGAGAGAGAGGGAGAGAGAAAGAGAGCGAGAGAGAGAGAGAGAGACAGAGAGAGAGAGAGTGTGTGTGTGTGAGTGAGAGAGAGAGAGAGAAAGAGATGCGAGAGAGATCTTAGATATAAAGAATTATGTACATATATATATATATATATATACAAACTGTCTGACTTATATATATTTATATGTACATATACACACATGCTGCAGCTTCGCCAAGCCCCCCCGCCCCACCCGGCCCCCCACTGCCAAGACGTCGTAATAACATCAAGATCGGGAAAAGGCAACAGTTGTGGATAATTGAAACCACAGTATTCGCCCAAAAGCCAGGATGGAGGGCGGGGGGGGGGGGGGGACGGGACTTTGATTGGCCACGCGGCACCATCCCTTTTTAGAGAAACGGACAGATGGATAGATAGACAGACAAACAGACAGAAGAAGACAGAGACAGCGAGAGAGAAAGAGAGAGAGTCAAAGAGAGAGGGTAAAGCCTCAAGGAATTGTGAAGGTTGCAAATTACACATTTCGGCAACCCAAAGAAGAAATAGAACCACCTAAGATTTCAGACAATATGCTATCAACTTGGCTCAAGATCCCAATTCCTACTAGGAGCTACTTCTGTTAGTGTCTGAAAAACTAGATCTAAGTATACACTCCAGATGGACTGAGGCCCAAAACAAGCAGGCTATGGTGGGCTGAAGTAAGCTGTGTTGAGGATCGCAGACTCTTCGTAACCAGTCGCGGGCCCTTTAGATGCTTACATTTCCATATCCACATGGGAACCACCTGACGGAGGCAACCTATCCGGCTGCTTAATCCCACAGCTTTTCCAGACAAAGTTTGGGGCACCTGATTGCTTCCTGGGGCTTCCTGGTTTAGGGTTTACGGTTGCTTCCTGTCCTCAGGAATATACTAAAGTATGTGCTTGCCAGTGATCAACAGCGGGCTGGGCAGTTTGTGACTCGCGAGGTGAACAAGCACGAGAACTTTTGTACAAGAACGGTGCGCACTTCTCCCAAACCGATGCCAGCTTTGGGGGTGTTCAGGTTTTCTGTTCATCGAAGCCAGATTCGTTGTGATTACTATGCCAGTGGCACTCTCAAGTGTAAACTTGAGGGTTCAGTCTACAAGGTGCAGCAGCGAACCCTGCACTGCACTGCTGGAAGAAAGACTTGCTCTTGACACCACATCACCTAAGAATGGGACGTGTTGTTGACGACACAAGGCTGAACCGTGCCCTTCTCATTCAACCACCCAGCGCTGGCTTCCAAAATACACATGCTCTGAACCCAGATCCCGAAACCAACAATCAAAAACTAACTAAGCCTATACTGAATGTGCTCATCAATACAGTTTGCCGAGCCCTCATCCCAGGTCCCAAACACCACTTGGCCTCTGGGAAGGCTTCACGGATGATGCCGAACCTCGTTTGCAAGCCGTTTCAGGTTTGGGTGTCCAGGGTCCGCGTTTGGGCCTGGGGGGGTTAGGGTTGGGTTAGAGGGTCTAGGGAATCGAGTCCGTGGCCGGGGATTTGGCACTGCTCGGGCCTCATAGACGCTGGGAAAAATTATGCGAATAGCCTGCTCGACTTCACCTGCCTGCACCTTTTCACAGCATGGCTTTCATGTTTATTGTCGTTCCTGTATATACGATATACGTACACAACCCTAACTACGCAAAACCCCTCCCTACACCCGAAACTTCCCGACACCTTGTAAAACTTGCGTTGAACCCCAGACCTGCCTTTGCACAGCATCGTGAAACCACTGATACAGGATGTCGGACTTCGGCATTCTGGGTTTGGGGCTGAGCTCGTGCAGACCCCCCTCTTTTCGTTGAGCCCTTGTCCTGTAACGGGATTACTCACCAGGTTTCTGCATCAGGCCGAGGACCTCGCTTCATGGCTGAGGTTTAGGCTTAGGCTGCCAGGCTCCCTACAGTCTCTCAATCCCTACCCTCACGCCCTTCCATGTAGATGAGGTGCAGATGACAAACGTAGCACCAGTCGGGAAACCCTCGTGAGTTCACGCTGACGGCGATTGCCGAAGCAAAACACCTTGTCATCTAATTACCAAGCCAAAAATATGCCTTTCCCGGAAGGCCGAGGGACAGTGGATGCGGTGCCAACTGCGCGCCTGCGAAAATGAGATTTCGCGTGCTCTCTGTTTGCCCTGATTTGTGATTTGAGGTGTGCTGGGAATTTCGGGATTTGGGTTCTGAAGTCCAATCGCAAAGATCTCCGATGCCCCTCCCGGGCAGCCACACGATCTCGGGTTAGGAGCTTCGGATGTACACGGGGATTAAATCCCAAAGAATAGGCGGTAAAGGGTTGGGAGGGAAAAGTTGTCCACAACATGTCTCTGAAAGCTGCGGCTGTGCACACGCCACAACTGTCCCGTCTCACTGGTTAGCTTAAACATCAAATTCACGCGCACACGCAATAAGGCCCACATAATGTGTGATGCAGCCATACGATTCTGGGCACTTCGAGACCCGAACAGTCGGCTTTCAAGCTGCCTCGTTGGCTTACTTGAAGCTCGATGACCAGAGAAGGGGACAGCAAGCCTTGGCCGTGACAAGCACGAGTTTCGGATTTCGGGGGTTCAAAGTGCGAGGGCTGTGGGGTTGGGGGCTTCAGGGTTGCAGCGCTTCGGCCTCACTCCAGGGTCTCTTCTTGGCCTATGGGCTACAGGAAAGCGCTTGCCATTAGTGGGTTTAGAGTTGAAGGTTTGGGGTGTGTTTCTTTCACGTCTGCACGCCAAGCATTACAACCTTAGAGCTCGAAAATAAACTGGAACACATTCCCAAACTCTTTTGTTGGAGGGATGGCAGCCGCCTTTCGGCTGGAGCCTCCTGCAGCTCGAACCCTACCTGCAGCATGAAGCCCCTTCCTCATCCAAGAAACTCATAGTAAGAAACCCATTGAACAATTAGGTTTTGGAGCTACAAACAAACCTTAGGCGTTCAGAGCAACAGGTAAACCTTAGAGCTACACTAGGGCAAACAGCCTCAAAACCCTGAAATGTGCGGAATCTGTTGATCGGGGATGAAGTTCGAAGCCAAGGGGGGTTAAGCTAGAGGGTTTATAAGGTATAGGGTTGAGGATTTAGGGCACAAAGCTGAGAGAAATTGGTAACAAGAGGCTGAGGCGGAACTCTTCTAGTCCTTGGATAGTCATACGATAATATACCGCAACGCCCATTCGAGTCCAAACAAGCCCCGTGCACCACACCAACAACTGTCGGGCCAGGTTCAGACTGCTACATGGAGGAGCTCGTGGTCTGATCTGCATGCTATTCCCGCTTAGTTGCCGTCGGCTGTGTACTTATAACCTTTAAAGCCCCCAAACCACCAGCCCTTCAGGACAGCTGAATCTTTCATGAACCAATGCAAGGGACTCAACAGTGCGAACTCTCCTGCAACATCGATCCCACAACACCCAAACACACTTTCGATGGCTTAGGGATGAAGGGTTTTAGGATCAGGCTTATGAATGTAGACCCTGACGACAAACCCCCTCTGCCCTGATGCAATTAAAGGTGGGATCCCAACCTTGGGGCTGCGGGGCCCTTAACGGAAAAGGAGGATTTGGATCAGGTCTGCATTAACCCTAAGCCCTAAACCCCTAAACTTCAACTCTCCCCCCCTCCCTTCAAAACGAAACTTAACCCTAAACTTAGGCCCATCAACCTCAATCTCCGTCAATTTATGAAGTCCGGATGCTCGCGTCCAGGGCAACACTGCTCTGCCTTCCCAGTTTGTAATCCACAAAGCGCCTGGGTCTTCGGGTAGGGGGTTTACGGTTCCAGATTCAGGGTTTGGGGTTTAAGGTTCCCCAAACCCTAAACCCTAAACATATCGCCGATTTCTTTGTCGCGCTCTTCCGGTTTGCAATCGCGCCTTAATATGGCCTTATAATTAGGCCCTAATCGAACTTTAATAAGGCTCAAATATGGTCTTCCTGAGATCGCAATGAGGTTTTAACAAGGGGCTTAATAGGGCCTTAAAGAAGGTTTAATATGACGAAAGTAACGGATGAATTACAATTGGAATGAACCTATAATTAGAAATTTGCTGTAGGCTGACTACAGCTTACGCAATGTGGCCGCCATAAGGGTGCATGGAAAACTCATTATGGAATCAAGAAAATTTAATATGGTTTTGATAACACTTGAAAATCAGAATATCATTTGAGAATATGTATTATGAATTTAATAGAGCCATAAAAACCGACTCAATCTGACTTTGCACAAAGTTTAACATCAACGATAAAAATGATTTTGGCCTCAATATCAAATCTTCTTCACAAGTATTACCAACGCGAGCGACCATATTCGAAATAAAATCCTGTCTTTACAAGGACTTGTATAACCTTAATAAAAATTCTTCCATATAGATATACTACAAGATGCTTCATAACTAAAATCATAACGTCCAGGACAAAAACTCAAGTTCAAGATATGCAATATAAAGTTTCTATATAAATGGTTTAATATGGCCATAATAAACCTATCGCCATTAAATATACATTCACGAAAGATCAACATCGTAAGGTCGAATGTTTAACAGAACTATACTCATATCAAAATCTCACAATACCAATATCCAAATCTAAAACAACTCCAACAAAAAACTCAAAACATAATCATCTTATTCTTTATACACACAAATTCATAACGCCTTTATGAAACTATTACTAAGAATTCCTGCTCCTGTTTGTTATCCATTTTGAGAAAGTAAGTTTAGTTCCCTAAGCCCGAAAAGGAGTAGGTCTGGGTGGTGCGCCGCCTCATGAGCGGCGCGGGGTGGGAGAAAAGAAATGCGGCCGCGATAAGACGGCCGAAGAGCCTTCGCTGCACGCACGCAGTCCACCACCAGACCGCACAAGCACTGACGCAAAAACCGCCCCCGGAATCCAAACAACTTCCGTGAATAAGTGCCAAACCCGAAACCCGAAACCCTGAACCGTTTCGGGTTTGGGGTGCTTGGGAGTCTTGGGTTACGAGGCCCCCTGCTTTAGAAGTTACAGGGCTTTAAGGCTTTGTTCAGGCTTGACGTTGTAGGTTTGGAGCGTTTGGCGCTTAGTTGCGTTTAGGGTTGTAGGGTTTGGGTTGCAGGATCTGGGGTTGGGGCGTAACCTCTGCGGTAGGCGCTTCTGACATTGAAAGTCTGCTTCGAATTCCCTGCAACTCTACAAATGAGAATCCCTCTTCAATGAATGATGCAGCCAACCCTAAGTCTTTAACAAGAACCTCTCAAAAGTGAGACCGCCACAGGGCTTACAAGGTTTACTCTTTTCTCCGCTCTGATGCTTTACCGTTTCTCCGTTTTCACTTCTGATCTTTAACCGTTCGGGTTAGCATTCAGGGCACATCGTTTGCCTCAGAGGAAACTTGCTGTCAAACTCTCCCATGATGCTAGAGACAGCACCTTGAACCTATAAACCCTACACCCTCAAACCCTAAACCCAAAAGCCCTAAACCACTGCTCGATGCGCCACCGTCTTCCTTCATGACGGGAGGTGGCAGTTGGTCTGGTTAGTTTTGGGCGAGCTTGCGGCTCAGGGTCCAGAAAGGTCTGACATATAGGGGCCTTAATGATTGGAATAGGGTTGCTCGGTGTATTATACGAGAAGAAACCACAAGGACACCAAAGTAGTATTGCTAGTTTGTTAAGGCCCCTATGTTAGTCCCAACGAACCTTCCTACTAGTAAGACCGACGCTACCGATGCTGCAGATCTCAGAGCCCTGCAAAGACTCCTGGACCAGTCTTTCTGATAGCTTCGAGGCTAACAGTTAGGACGGAATGTCGACGCCTTGAAATCAGGGATTGCAACGGTAGAACCAGTGTCCAAGTATGGTACCGTTCAAGGCGTATACAGCGTGATTCTAGCTGTGCCTGCCGATCATACCCGAAACTACACCCAACCCTGAACCCTAAAACCCCCCAACCCAAAACCCAAAGCATTCCAAACCCCAGGGTTGGAGTACATGACTGGGGAATTCAAGTTGCCGGTAGCCTCCGATCCATGCCATTAGTTCCTTTCCCTGCTAGCCAAGCGTACACCTGGGATTCTTTAATCAGGAAACAACGGACGCAAGGCGACCCAAACAAAGGAACCAAGGAGTGTAGGTAAACCTGAACCCTAAACCGAACCCCACAACCCAGAATCCAAAACATTAACCCTCAAACCCTGAATCCTAGACCCTCGCCCTAAATCCCCAAACCTAGCACCATTTAGGGTTTAGACTTTAGGGTTTAGGGGTTCAGGGATTTAGGGTTAAGGGGCTTCGGGGTTAGGATTTGGGGCGAAGGCTTCCGCGCACCATCGCGAGAAGGAGCTTGAATGCTAGCGTGCGCCTAGCTGACTATATTCCCGACTTGCCATATCATCATTATAATGCAAACGTTCATATATATATATATATGCACACACATACATACATACATACATACATACGTACATACATTCATACATACATACATACATATAAAGACATGTATGCATGCATGCATGCATGCATCCATCCATACATCTGTCGATACATAATCTCATACATACATACATACATACATACATACATACATACATAAATACATACAGACATACAGACATACATACATACACACACATACACACACATACACAGATACATACACATACATACACATACAAACATACATACATACATACATACATACATACTTACATACATGCGTACGTACATACGAACATAATTACATATGTACATACATACATGCATGCATACATACATAGATACATACGGACAAACAGACAGATAGACAGACAGGCAATCATACTCACACCCACATACACACCTGCATACATACATAAATACAGACACACATACATACATACATACATACATGCATGCATACATACATACATACCTACATACATACATACATAAACACGTACAAACAAACAACATACATACATACATGCATACATGAATACATACATTACATACAGTACTTACATAGATATGTACATACATACATACAAACATACATACATACATACATACATACATACACTCATACATACAGACATACACTCATACATACAGACATACATGCTTACTTATGCACATGCATATGTATGTGTGCACAGTTGTATATATATATATACATACATATTCGTTTTGCGAATGCCTGCCTATCCTCTATTTGCATAACACGATATATTATCATCCTGGGTCTATATCTTTATCTATACCTGCCTCTATTTGTACCAGTTTTTCGCTCATGCACATTATCATATATAGTTGCATCTTGCATATACATGCAGATATAGGTTTATATGACATACATCTACACAAAGACATCCTACAACATGTGTGTATATGGAGAACATGTTGCACATGATCTGGTGCCGAGAAGCATGATGCGGGATGTCAGCTCCATAGACACATGCTGCGCATGCAGATACTGTCCTGAGAGCGCAGCGAGACACAAGCTCAGCTGCAATACTGCTCGGTTTCGAAAGGCCGATCTACAAGGATTGTAACAGAGTCTATTCTATTCGGGTGTAGTGATTACATCCTATTCTAGTAGGGCAGTTCTCTAAGGGTTCTCCTCAGGCTCCTTACTTGAAGATCGATGCTATATCCTCTGCTGGGGAATCCCAAAGAGACCCCTAACTAAAAGACATGCGGTGGCAATCGCACTAAGAAATTCGGGCGGATATCATGAACCTCTGGTTTAGGGTTTAGGGGTTGCATGGCATGAGTAAACCAAATCGTTCTTCGGCTGAGATCTGTATGCCAGACTCATTCTCGCAGCGGCATACCAAATTTGCTTGCTGCATCGCGAGAACCATAAGAACCTAGAGCGGGCAGTACACAGGTAGCAATGCATAGCTCTTAGGATTTCACTCTAAACTTGAAACCTTTACGCATGCAGCAAAACAAACAAGAGGTCCAGATGCACACTCGAAACGAAACTCCGATCCCAGGAAACCATACCAGCAAAAATCTATACTGGCCAGAGTAAATCATGGTCGTACTGTTGGACCCTCCTGGAAGCCGCGTTCCAAAATGGTAGTACGTACCAGACTGAATATATGAACCATCTCGGAAACTCAAAATCTAAACCGTTAACCCCTAAACCCTAAGCATTAAACCCCTAAACCCTAAACCCCTCAACCCCTAAACCCTAAAAAAAAGAACCTGAATCCTCCACCGAAGCCAACAAAAAGCACAAAGTCGCGAACTTCCCTTCGCCTTTTGGATCCTTCGGAGTTGATCGTCCTGATTACAGACTCGTCATGAGCTTAGGCCTAGGATGAGGTTCTGGTTTAGCGCCTTGCGATCAAGATAAAGTTTATGGCTGCAGAGTTGTGGACGCATATCGACTTACGAAGACGGGTGGGCACCCAACCCCGTACAATGCATGTGAGCACACGCATTTAAACCCAAAGGCCCTAAGCCCTAAAACCTAAGTGTTGTGAGTTTGTGTACGACCATTTTCGACTCTAGCGGCTTGCATTGCAGGTCGTGGTGCTTAAAGGAGGTCCGGGACGTAGGATTTAGTGTGGGGCTCCGAAGATTTAGAGGTTGGCTTCCATGAGTATGGGTGGAATGTTCAAGGAGTCCGGTGTACATAGTCGGCACTCTACGTACCCAGAAACCCACCCAGAAAGTATGAGGCCCCCTGGAAAAGACATTGACATGCTTGTTGTCCTGAGTATCGTTACTGTCAACACTCCACCTTGCATCTGTTTGGTTACTTTCTCTGGTACTTGCCCCAAGCCTAAACGTCCCTATGTCCTAGGATTTAGTCGTAGCTTTCTCTAGGCCTCTTGTATAAATAAGATTTTTTTATTGGTATTTAACCTAGTATTATGAATATTGTTATGACTAGTTTGATTATTCTTATTACTGTTATTGTCATTTTCGTGACTAGTCTTGTTATTCTTATTGTTGCTATGACAACTTAGTACAGTTAATAACAATGTTAGTAGCAATGTTGTTGTTATTGTTATTGTCTTGACAAGTAGTATTGCTAGGATTATGACTTATACTGTAGCAATATCTGTGATTAGCATTACTGTTAGTATCAACAAATAATATTCCGCTTAATAGTATGACAGTATGATTAATGATCATATTTGTGTTATTACTGGGAGCCTGTTTCCTGACTTGCTGACTGAGCTACACACGCGAATCAACAAGAAAGGGCTTGGGGCCTCAATAATTAGAGTACGTTTTTCCTTTGCTAGGCTTCTTTAAAGGGTTCAATAATTAGGGCATACTACTCGAGTCATTTGAGGGTTTAGCTTAGGGGCCTCAATTATTGGAATGGGTTTTTCGGGTATATTGTAGTAGAACTATACACTGAGGAGCCCTAAGTAACAGAACTACGATTCAGTTCGGCTTTTTCGTTTCCTAGCCTTATGATTGAATTGTAGAGTCTACGGCTTAGGGACGCTCCGGACTGTGCAACATTTGGTGAGTTGTGAAGAAGCTCATGCACAGGCTGAACGACGACGTAGACCTTCGAAACTCAACACCACACTTTTCCGGTCGGCACCCACCTTGTTGATCTTTGGGGCCCTGAAATCTGTAACTGGAAGTACGACGACCTCTCTCCGAGATCCCTAAACCCTAAACCTCTCTCCAAGATTAGCGTTTAGGGTGTAGGGTTCCGTTTTTCAGGGCCGGGGCTTGTCAACCCTAACCTCAAAAGCCTGTGCAATTACATTACATGTCTGTGCTTACGTTAATGAGACCTCCTGATCATTAAACCCCCCCAAACAACCTGAAATCCGGAATAGTGGGAGTGTTTTTTTTTGGAACTGATGATTTGACTTGTTTGGGGAGCTGGGGTGTAAGTTGTTTGGGGACCGGGGCTCTCGGTAGTGGTACAGTAGTAAAGTAGCTAGTCTTACAGTAGTAGTACAGTAGTACAGCCGCAGTATAGTAGTAGTAGTACAGTAGTACAGCCGTAGTATAGTAGTAGTACAGTAATAGTAATAGTACAGTAGTAGTACAGTAGTAGTACAGTAGTAGTACAGTAGTAGTACAGTAGTAGTACAGTAGTACAGCCGTAGTATAGTAGTAGTACA